TTTTTTTTTTTTTTTTTTTTTTTTTTTTAGTTCTCTCCATCAACCCCTCTTTATCGTCTTCCTTTTCGTTTCTCTTTCCAGCTACGATCGAAATCCCCCGTTCAATGTCGAGTTGCCAACCCGTACGCAACTAAAGCCAAAATGCAAAGCGAATTGCCCCATACCAACCAATATCAAATCTCTATAGCTCCTGAGCCCACTATTCTACCCCTATAGTTACAGCACCAGACCAGGACTTTCACTCTGTTCCCAATACTTTCTAAACTTATGGTTAGCAGTCACATACGTTCATTTGCTCATTTGATGCCTCAAATTATGCAGTATGTCCAATATACGGCCTAATCTATACTTCACGGATATCATCAAAAGGCACAAGCATTACTTCGCCTCAACTGTTTCCCTTACTACATCTTTATCGCCGCAAACTGTACCAATAGAATGCTGTACGGCTCCTTGCTCTTCATCCTGGATCTCCTCAGCGTGTTTATCATGCTCAACAGGAGCATAATCCTTGACAACAAACCAGGTTGGCAGGACAGCGAGACCTAGGTAAGCACATTCAGGTCAACATTTGCCCCGAATCATGAACCGCCAAAGAAGAGAAAATGATATGAAAGAGACATACCGAGCAAGATCGTATTCACAGCAAGGGGAACTCTCCCGCCATGCCAATTCCTGGTGTTGATGCCGAACGAGACAGCCTGAGCGAAACTTTCCTGTCCACGAAGAATACCGGAGAACCGAGCTAGAAGATCCCTATTAGTGATTTTTACTCATACTAGGCCCAGAACCTACCTACCCAGTTCTGATATATTGTCAGTCATTGTGGAGACAAGGTAGTAGAGCCAGTTTTGTAGTGCTTGCTGAGAAAATTCTGATGTTATGTAGGTTAGTGATGGGTTGGAAACTGATTTATCCTATTTGGGGGGGCTACTCACCCCAAAGAAGGATAACAAAGAGTCCCTCCGTGAAGCCCTTGTCGGACCAGTCGTAGGATGGTGGGTTCGCGGTGTACTTCTCTTGAATCACCCAGGCGTAGACCCAGGTGGCTATGTGCAGGAGGATGACGTAGAAGAAGCTGGAGGATCCATTAGTAAGACGTGTGGTTTTAGTTGGTGCTTGGTAGTGCCTGGTATACCTATAGGTGACTCGTCTTTTGATTGAGGTCCCTCTATAGTCTAGGAAACGACTTATCATTCCAGAGGATAGTAGTCTCGCAAAGTTACCTAGAGTTGCGTTAGACAAAGCGCTAACTACTGAAGTTGGATACCCAGATTTTTAAAGCAACACATATACGTACTGACAAACCCAATCAAAGCCCGGGCCCTGACGCCAAAGTAATAAGTCGTAAAGTCTATCAAATTTTAGTGTTAGTGATCGTGTGTGCGGATGTAAATGTACTATAAACCCATACTTCCGCTGTACTGGTTAAAGTAGGCTGCCCAGAAAACTGGCAACAATAGAAGAACCTAAGTCGACATTAGACAGGCTATCAGCTAAGGCCGGAAGAGCAACCAACTTCTTTCCGACGAGAGAGCTTCCAGAGCTGCAGCATCTCAGCACGCCATGAATCCTGCAGAACTATCCGCACTTTGCTGCCATCGCTGCGTTGAACCTTCTCGGGAGGGGAGAGGAAAATCGCCAGAGGAACAGCGAGGCACTGCAATGCGACGAAGATGAGGTATGTCTCTATATAAACCTATTAGCAATCGTCCGCGAGAAAAAAAATTTAGAATTGGGACACCCTGGTTTGGTTAGACATACGTGGATCAACCTTTCCCTTCTTCTTCGCTTCGGCAGAGCTTATCTCAGTTAGTAGAACCGTTCAACATATCATTGTCTTCCAGGACAACATACTGGTTGAGCCCGAGAACAATTGCACCACCCAGTAAGGGACCTCCGGTACGGAACCAAAGCCAGATACTATCTACTGTCAATGGCCTTGCATAGTAAGCCAGGACCTCACATAGAGCCACTCACTTCATATATCTGCCTCGTTTCGTTGGCTCAGGATAGCCCAGTGCCACAGCACCTTCAGAAGCCCAGAAAAGGCCCGCCCTGGTTACCTGCATAAGAAGCTGAAGCATTTCTCTACTAGAAATTTGATACTTACGACAAACCACATGCTACCGATCCGAGAAGCACAAACCAAACATTGCCCTAATCTCAAAATTAGCATTCCGCCACCAGCAAGCACTTTCATAGAGGCTGACACGCACATAGCGGTTATTCGTGTATAACGCAGCCCTACAACATCCTTCCGTTAGTTAAAAATTCTAAAGTCGAATTAAAAAGAAGTGAACATACGAGTAAATCGGATACCCAACTGCACCCAGAAGCAGCGTCCAATTTAAACCAATTCGATTCGCAATCGGACCGCCGAAGAGACACAGAAACCCCACTATAGCAACCCACGAAGATCAGCACCGTATACCTTTGCCAACAGAGTCAACGGTCCACCATACTGAGACCAAAAACCAACGCATTGGCAGCATTAATCAAATACGGTGACTGCGCGCCACCGGCTCCCAAGGAACTCATGGCATTCCATAAACCCGGAGCCATGAAACCCACCCCACCGATAATGAAGGCATTGAAGAGGGTTGAGTGATACCATGTTCGTTTTACCTCGCTTTCTGCCGTTTTATCGGTGGATGACACCGACTTTGATGGTAGTTGTTCGACCATGGTGTAGTTGGGAATACAGTTGTAAAACTGAGAAGAACTTTCTGGACATGGACACAAGGTAGATATAGCATTTTTTGTTTTACTTCCCCCCCTCCATCGTTTAGCTATTTTGTTGAGTAAATCCTCATATCGAGGAAAAATTGCGTGCTCTCGTGAAGATGCATTGCATGCTACTCCATCCTTTAGTATACAGACCCAAGACTGTAACGTCTACTTCGGGGGCCAATCAATGACTGCAGGTGGAGATGAAAATTCGGCCTGAGCCGCCGGTTAAGGTTGTAATTAACCCTACGTTAAAAACATGCAAGTCATGCAGATTCATGCAGCCTCAGGGTCGGCATTTATTCCTTCAACCGAAGGATCTACTCTACAGAATGACTATACCTGTTAACCGCTACCCTTTGCTATACGCGATGTCTAGGTGAATTGGATCCGATTGGGTCCCGGACCTATACAGATGCCTGTGGAGTAAGGGGAACTGATATGACTAACGCTTTGTACATACATGGCCAGATGATGTACACGGAAAGAATGAAACATGTGATCGCTTTGGCACAAGATGATCGATCCAGTCTGACCAAAGGAAAGAAGCCGTCGCGTCAGCAGCAGGAGCAGCCAGGTCCTGACTCCACTACTCAACGCAGAATTGATTTCGCATTTTCGTCAGCGCATTCGGCAGCTGTAAAGAATGGACGAGGATGTAAGTAGAGCCGGTCGACGAGTCAAACATAGAGATTCAAGAAAGAAGTTCAGAAAAATAGAAGAGCCTTACCATCCAAGCCTGGTGCTGTGGAAGGCTGCTTGTGTGTTTCCAAGCACATCGGGGAAAGTAACATTAGAGGCAATTTCGACTATCACATGAGAGCGTCCATTTTGAACAGGAGAGAAGATCTGGTCCGCTGTCCAAGTGCAAAACAAGTAAAAGGAAAGAAAACATAGAAACAGAAAATCATCCAAGTGTGCACATCCGTTACGTCTCAGTCACATTATGTACGATGTTCGCGTTACATGATCGGGGTCTTGCGCTTTTCGGCGCTAGATAGCACAAGCATCGGGGTCTTGCGCCTTTCTGAACCCTGCGCTGCTGTCTTCTGGCCAGCGACGACAGCAGCCACCGAAGGTGTTCCTGCGGGTGAAGAAACCTGATCCGTGCGAACATCCGCAAATTTTCCGCCGAAGAAGCCACTATCTTCACTGATCGGAGTGGTCGTGTACGGGCTGTCCTGCGACCGCCGATCCCGAGAAGATCTTTCCTTCCTCTCGGATCCAATGGCGCCATTGGCAGCGGCGCGAAGGCTCCCCAAGCTGGGTTTACTTGAGAGACTGCCACTGCGAACGGTCGCATCATCGCCATCGGAGAATGTGAATTCCTTCTCACTCGCCGGGGTGTTGGTTCCACCGCTACTATGGCATCCGAAGCTGCGGTTGTCACCGCGACGTTCGAGGCCTGCCCGTACCAGGTTGTGGACCGCGCGACGACGCTGCCGGGTTGCAAAGTTCTTACTTCCTTCATGGTTCGATGTCGGCTTGGCGACAAGTTCTTCCAACGATGGTGGGCCCCGAGGTTGTCTAGTAGGGTGCTCTCCGGCGCGATTTTGGCCAGGCCCAAAGGTTCCTGTTGCCGGCGTCTGAGAAAGAGCTGCAGTTTTGGGGGCAGGAGGGGCGGCGCTCGAGTTCGCCTTGGCCGTATCAATGGAGAATCTAGCAGCGGGGCTAAACGAAGAACTCTTCTTGTGGCTTCTGCGGAATGCATTAATGGACGGAGGAGGCAAGGGAGCAGTCTCCTGAGGAGGGGAAGGACTGGCACTTGGAGGAGAGGCCGGCTGCGACAACTGCTTCGTTTCCGGGGGAGGAGAAACCTCGGCTCGGAAGGCCGGTACCTGCATCGTGGGAGGCTGTATCTCCTCCTCCTGGTAGGGGGGTGACTTCTCCTGCTGGGAGGAGTTGTCGTAGACGTAATTCTGCTGACCAGTGAGGGGGTTGTAGACTGAAAACAGCCCTGGCTGACCAGGTACCGGCTGTACTACGGGTTGTACACCCTGCTGGAGTTGTTGCTGATAAAAGCCCATACCCGGAAGATTTAGAGAGGAATATTCCTGCTGGTGGTGGTTCATTGGCATTCCAAGGTTGAGACCCTGGAACTGCTGGGCCGCCGCGGTGACGCTAATCAGTTGTTGTTGCAGACGCTGCTGCTGGGCCGCTAGGAAAAGATTTGTTGACATCAATTCCGCGTACAGGCTATCATCAATGGGCATATCGTTGGCGATGTCAATAGCTGGAGGTGCGAGCACCTGCTCCGGCAGAGTGTACACGGGACGACCGGTGTTCATGTCCAAACCCTGATTGAGAGCCAACGAGTGTCGAGGGAACCCAGTTCCCATGGCAGTTTGTGGAACACGTTCAGCAGTGCGGTTCGACATGTTTCCATATCGATCACCCTGCACGCCCAGGTGCTGTTGGCGGGCGGAAGCCGAAGGTACCGTGGCCGACTTTGGAGCAGTCCTTAATCCTGCCAGAAGATGCGAACGGCTGGTACGTGGAGTGGGAATGGGCGCTGATGGTTGCGATTCATCGATGGTGGAGATGTGCGGAGGCACGCTCAAACGCTTCACATTAGGGCCCTTTCTCCGAGACCCAAAACCCGAGCTCGGGGCCCCAAGCGAGCTTCCGTTATCGAAAGAGGGGTTGTAAGTCATCTGAGCAAGACCGCCAGTGTCCATACTCGTAACTAGTATAAAGGAAGAAAAACTCGAGGACAGATAAGTGCAACGCGTAAAACAATGAGTCGTAGTGAACCGAGAGTACTCTGTAGTCGACCAACGAGGGGAACCCCGGGTATTAAGTTATTACGAGACGGAGGTAAAAATGAAACACTCGAGGGTTGTATTGACACCAATAAATCGTGTCTATTATGCAAAACGTCGAGACTGCCGTCGCGAGCCCTATAGACTTGACAAAGTCAGCAGATCGTGAGCGCTACCGATATGAGATTCGACATACCCGAGAAATATGCGATGAGAATGAAGGGTACCTCAAAGCGGGGGCGAGGAAGAAAAATTAAAACAATGAACGATTAACTCCGGTGTACAGGGAATGATAGACCTGGAGGTTAAGGCAGAGCGTGCGTTGCAGTTGCCAAAAGGAGATCCGATGGTGGAAGTGATGGATGACAAGACGCGACCGGACGTCAAGGACCGAGGCAAGCAAGTCGAGAGAGACAAAGATAATAGTCTCTTGTAATTAAAGACGAAGATAAATAAAATGAGGTGGGAGGTGCTCTGCAGCTCCCGACCGAAAGGATGCTCGACACGAAATGTAAGAGGAGGACTCGAGAAGCACGAAGGTTGACCGTTGAGACGAATAACGGGAAATGAGAACAGAGCCGCTCCAGTGAAGTAAGGGATGTCAAATGGGACTTTTATTTATTCTCTCTCTTGGCCTTTTTTTTTTTCGTTCCTTTCCCCTTTCTAATTTTCTGTGGCTTGTTTGCCTTTTTTTTGTCTTTTTAGTTCCACCCAGGAATTCCCGGTAAATCGATCGTGGAGAAGGGGAAGGAAGAGAAGAGAGAAGGATAATAGGTGGTGATGAATTGGTCCGTTCGGCTGTTTGGCGCGCGTTGGGTCGCCTTTTTTTTCCTTTTTTTCTTTTTCCTTTTTTTCGCGCTTTTTCCTTCGTCTACCCGCGCTTGGACCGTCAAAGGTCAGGCCAGAGGGTCCCAAGAAACTTCCAATTCACCTTTAGGATTAAAATATAACTTTTCCAGGCCAAATAGAAGAGTAAGTCTGCAATATAATGAAAGGACCGCGGATGGAAAAGAAGAGAATAAGAGAGATTAGGTTGAAGGAACTCAAAAGGGGAGAAGGTGAAGAAGAGACGATGGGGCTGAGGCGAGGTCGAAGAAAGCCGACTCAGAGAAAAGGAACCGGAGAGGGAGGAAAGAAGGAATGAGAGAGAAAGCAGGAAAAGGAAGAAAGAAGCAGGGTGAGTGAACGAAGAGGGGAGAAAAGAGAGAGAGAACGAGGTTAAAAACGAAGAACTATTGCTAAGACTTGTAAGACCGAAGAATTAAGGTGCTAATAATACTCTTACTGTAAATCGGCATCAATGATGAATTCCAGGTTGGCCACTGCTGACATCTGCATCCTGACTGGCTCGCTTGAGGGACTCGCTAGACCCAGAGGGGACTAGGCCATGGGGAAGTGGAAGTTGGGTGATGCTCAGAATGGATTGATTGATAGCCATTGTTTCCTCAGGTTCCAATCACTTGCCCTTTCATTTGGGGTTTAGCCGTTCCGATGTGGTGCCTGAAATAATGGCCAATAGAACCATGATGGTCCTCCGGTTCACCATCCATCCCCCTTCCTTTCCATCTATCTATCAAATTTCTTCCGTTGGGTTTCTCGGAGTGGATTGTCTCGAATCGAATCGGATTTGGGACCGTTTCCATATAGGTATAATGTACAACAGTAGGTACTTCGAGATAAGGACTTTATCGACCTACTACTACCAAATGCCGTAAGGGCAGTCCCTGGTTTAATTAACCCATCTCCCGCTTAATCCGCTATCATGGAACACAAGACATCGCATCAGCCGCTATGACTAGCCAATCCACCACCAGAATCGTCTCTGTAGCCTGACAGTGACACCCATAGCCCGATCCCCTATTGGCTCAACACTAGTCTCCTTACCCACTTATCCCTGGATCATCCCGGCCTAGCGCCTTTCAACGTGGCCTCCCTCGCCGCCAGCCAACCGCTTCCATTGCAGATAGATGTGCCCACCCATTGCCCCTGACTGGTGTTGCTCCAGTTCGATATGCGCTATGGGCTACATGGCCAGATCGAGCCAATTGTTTTCGGTGGATGGAATGATGGATGTGCTGAGGTAGCAATGAGAGGATCTGTGCTCACGCACTAGATCTGCATGGAAGAAAAAAACAGGTTCATGAGGATGTTTTGGAGCTACGGAGCTACTGATTGTTCGATATACATGCTTAGTTCTTGTCACCAGACAATGCACAGAGTGGGGTTGGTAATACGTACTGTACTCCGTCTCTATTAGTATCGACTATACTTACTCCACTACCGAGTGAACATCAATCATATACATTCATACCATGGCATTGATTTCCGTGTGTACATACCTCATCTATCTATTGCAATAATATCACCGGCCTCAAGATTGAGTGCTCTTATTAGGTTCTTCCTGTATGTATGGTCCGGTTTGCCATTGTGCCATGTTTGAATAATAGATACATACACCAGGTAATTCAGCAAACAAGTGCAATAAACACATTGGATGTCTCCAAAAGGGACAAAAAAGACAATTGGGTATCTGCTGGCAAGACAGTCTCTCAGTCCCCGCCAGAAGCTAATGAATAGTGAACAAGGGACAAACACAGAAAAAGGAAAAAAACCACGAATTCGTAAGGAGCGACGTGTCCATGTAGATAAGAAAAATAACACATAGAGTAGAGAAACGTAATTCTCTGCGGAATGAGAAAATGCGTAAAACATCATATCCAGCCCTTAACAGATACAGCAAAACAGATACGCTCACAACCAAATCGATCTAGTAAGCGTGGTTTATCGGGGAATAGATCCCTTCATGTCCTAGGCATCGACCGACACTGCAGGTCCAGTGAGAGGAAAGTTTGCCGACCCCTGGTGTTCTGGCTCTGGCGACTCTCCCCCTCCGCCTTTCCCATTTATTCGGTCAAACTCTAAGGTCTCTGCCAGTTCAGCGGCCATGGGGTCGAGTTCTTCTTCTTTAAGCCCAGTAGCAAGTGACACAAGCTTCCGATGAACATCGAACTTGGTGCTTACACCTGCATCTGCCGTTTGCTGGGCGAGATCTTTGACAGCGGCACGCCGTGCTTTTTGCGCTGAGCATAGCTGTTGGGCTAACTGATAGATAGTAAGCAACCCGTCCTGATCGGTTGACGGTGCGCTCGGGTCCTCATCAGTAGGCAATGTCGACGATGCGATTCGTTCTCTTAGACGGGCTTGTTGGATCTGTTCCAAGAGCGATTCGTAGCCACTTCTCAACCGTTCATAACGCTTGAACTGGGCGTCAGCATGATCTTCCTTGGCTTCCTTCGCCACCAAGTCTGCCGTCTGTTGTTGAATCTTCTGTCGATCTAGCTCTAACTGTTCATATAGTGCTTCCGGGTTTGCAACGTCATCCGGGTCTTGTTGGTTGGCCTTTGAGCTGCCGTAGCTGACTGCAAGCTTCTTGTTTGCCTCGGCCATAATCACGCCAATCTTAGCGAGTAGTGCAGAAGTTGAAGGGGGGGGATCATGCGGTGGGGCAACAGATTGATGATCGCTATGAACCGTGCCAGTAATTTCAACATCAATATGGTCATTACCCATCGTGATGGAGGAAGGCGGCGGAGGGATTTGTCGGTCAGATTGGTTCGCGCGTTGAGAAATACTGGCAGCTGTTTCGCCTTTCTTATTCACCAAGTCCCCAGCGCGCGAGCAGTGCGTGAGGAGCAACTGCACCAAACGAAACGCACCGTTTCGAGCAGCAACCAAAGCAGCCGTATCTCCATTCGAGTCTTGACAGGATAGTAACACGTCGATCTCCTCTGACGTGCAAGTGATGCGTAACTTGTCGAGCAAAACTTCACAGTAGTACCGCGAGCTTTTCCATTTCCCTTTGCTCCTGGTGGTTTCTGCTATGTGATGAAATATGGTGGCACCAAACCAGTCTCTGAACGATACTGTGTCCAAGAGTAGGTCCAACAACGGCGGGAAAGTCCTTTTTTCATAATTATTTGTAAATAGAACAGCACGCACAAGTGGTGTTTCTTCGTGTATTGAGAGTGTTTTCACGTCGGCCCCCCTCCGCAGCAAATCTTTTACTATCTCCAAATCACCCATCGCGCAAGCCCAATGAAGAGCGGTGTTCCCTGAATCATCTATTGAACGATCCACCTGGAAATTGGTTGGAGGTTCCGGTGGAGGAATTCGGGTTGCTTCCGGAGCATCTCCTACAGTCATGAAGTAGTCCAAAAGCTGATCTCCGTAAAGTATATGTTCCTGTTCGCTAATTGACATCGCAGTTACCTCATTCATACCACGCTTACGCTTTCGCGTGTAGTTACCATTCTGAGGTATGTGCATCATCTCCTCATCTGCGACCATGGAGGAAGATTCAAGGGTTGCCTGCTCAATCGATTCATCTTCGTCGAACCCAGGATTCATATCATATTGATCGTGAGTAAAACTGGGCGGCCCCATGCTGCGATGCGGCTTCACTGCGCTGAAAACCTCCTCATGTACGACCCGCCGGTTTGCAGCCGCATTCTTTTGAGCTCGTGGCTTCGACGCGGCCGACGTATGTTTCGGAGCAGGCGGCGGGCTGCGATCTCCAGCTACGTAGTCGAAAATCGGTCGTAATTTATCGATGATATTGTTGCGCTCGGCGAGCAACCGGCCTTCTGCAAGTGGAATCCATGTCCCTATTTCTCGCTTTAGTAGGACAATCATCGTAGCCAAATTGTTAAATCTAGACTTTCTTTACCTTGATATTTACCATAACCACCTTGTACCTTCTCATGAACCCCTTTCTGGACCTCACGCTCGAGGATACGGGTTCTTGCCGGCTTGTCAAACCCAGCCACTTTGAGGATATGTGTCGCATTAATCCAATCATCACCCCGTCTTCGCATAACACTGTCGCTATCGATTTTTAACTCAATGACCGGGACCTAATCAAAGATATTAGAGAGGTCACCCAAGCGGCCAAGTTTGTGCACTGGATGGAGTGAATCGACGTAGGAAGTGAAAGGCAGACACAAAAGAAGGGGAAAAAAAAGAAAGAAGAAAAAAAAAAAACTTACACTACTATACGTAGCAGAGTAAATATTTGAAAAATCCACCCCCGCCATGATGTGCGACTTCGTTGGCCGACTTTAATTCGGTTGGCTCCCGGACAGGACAATTGAAGGAGGAATTCAGCGCGGTCACTTCTCACGGGGAATTCAAGAGCCTGAATTCACCTTCTTTCAAGGACCGAGTATAATACACAAGCGTTGAATCTGAAAACATCACATATAACATAAATTGAAGTTACAAACCGTATCAGCCACTGCAGTATCGTCCAGGCATCCTAGAAAAACGCGGTGGTTTAGTTAGAAGACGCGTCCGCGTAAAGTGGAATTGAATCCACCATACCCGTTGCGGAGTAAAGTACACGTGATGTCACATGACCATAACCGGAAGGAACAACACTTCGGGATAGCTGCAAACCTCACTGCTCTGTCGCCTATCTCTAGAAGGACCTCAATCTACGCCACTTTCTCATACCAAAATGACCGTTGCCGAGTCGGTTAAGAGTGCTGTTGGGTTGGTGGATACTCCCGGTATGTTTTTAATGCCATTGGCCCCGGGCTCAAGCGCAAGATTAATATATCATCATCGCCTGGGCCAAGTACTGACATTCCATATTAGCCACCCGCCAGGAGATGTCCGATGCTCGTCTTCCTCTTCAATACCGGGACTCTTGTGCACACCTTCTGATCCCATTGAACCGGTGCCGGCAGCAGGAGTACTATCTCCCTTGGAAATGCGAGGTATGTCATTGCCCCCCTCGCTCCACCATGATGTTCCTGCGTCGATGTGCATGTCGCATGTGACTAATGCTCCATGTTTACTCTAGGATGAAAGACACAGCTATGAGAAGTGCCAGTACGAAGAATTCAAGAAGCGCGTTGCCAAGATGGACGAACTGCGAGCTGCTAAGGACGGTGCCCGGAGCAATTGATACCAAACACATCGACTTATGCATTTGAAACGGAAGAAGCAGCAGGTTATGTACATAGAGTTCTCAGATTGATTGATCATGCACCGACTTTGGCGTTTGGATTGAGATTCAGCATGCTGATACCACACCTTTGTATCCCGGGCTTCCAAGGTTGGTATCTTGTCTGTACCCCATGACGCGGTAATATCTTAAGGCGATGTGGACACAGTGTTCCTGTCCTTTGGAACAATCCCTATCCCATATGCATAAAACCGCTTGAGAAATGCGTCAGCTGGGAGAGCATCTGGATTTGTCAGCTGCCCTGCATTGAGACTGCCTGGGCTGTATCATTATGTAGCTTTCATTGCTGACTGTCTCATTTGTGATTCCGTATTCCTACCAGGATATTATCGGGAAATATTTCATGATCATCAGCTACTAGCCGTAAATGGTGATGGAATTGAAAGTCCAATGAAGAGCGTTTTATCAGCATATTTGCCATCGTGAGTCGCGAGCCACCCACCACCAGAATCACCATTTTCACTCTCTTTCTAGACGTACATCTATGACTGGTGCCCAGCGGGAACATTGCTAAAATCCGAAATGTTTTCTAAGGTTATATATCTTGTACTAATAGTGTACTTATTATGTTCGACGTAAATCACATGACCCTCCGTCGGAACTGCTTAGAAATCAATCAATCACTGTCTCGTAAATTCCGGCGTTATCAGCGATAATGCCCCGCTTGGGACCCCCACTATTGGGAAAAGTTCACTCCCCTATCCAATCACCGCAACCGTCTCCGAGATGTCGGCGGGAAAATCAGCATAAAGGTGACAATACTAATCCGAACATGACTTCCCCTCCCCTTTGCTTCCATTGTTTGTCCCTACTGTTCTTAATGCTGTACGTATAGTATTCCGGGGCGTCAGGTTTGCCTGGTTCTGGTGTTCTTCTAATTTTTTTTCGTCTCTGAGCGTGCGGGCTCTGGCGCTTGATCTGCTGTTTCCCTCCATCTTCGTGGGGCTTTGAGATTGCCCGATCCGGGGCTTGCCTTATTACACAAGGCTCTTTGGTCTTTGAATCTGTGTACTGGTTACAATAACATGGGTCTGCTGTACGTCGAGATCACTACTACCATACCTATTGGTGGCTTTCCAGAACTGACATAGAATGTCCTTTTAGGGCACTGGGAACTGCGCTCGATTGGTCCGAGGCGAAGAAACAGGCGGATCAGGTACGCAGGTGGGGTATCGAGGTATGTCTCTGTCGTCTGATCCCGCTCGCTATTCATGGTCTAGCATTCAGCTGATGCGCACCAGCAATTGCTTGCCAATTGGCGCCGAGCGAAAGGAAAAGAACGGGATGCCCTCCTCTGGGGCGATGAGGTGAGGCTCCTATGTTAATAAGATCGTTAAGTTCGCAACTAACTTCTTGACCTCTTGCTCAGGTTGAGTATCTCGTTGTAGCCGTCGATGATGAGGCGAAAAAGGCCCGACTATCTCTCGCTCAAGCTGAGATCCTTAAGTCTCTGGCTGAAGACGAAGCCAATTGGAAATCGGGAGGCTCTAGCAGCATACAGAACAAGGAGCAGTGAGACAAACTGGTTAGATATACAAAGTCTGGGGAGATTTTCTGACGATACCTAGTGATGGAGAGGACCCCCCTCACTTTCACCCGGAGTTTGGGCGCTTCATGCTGGAGGCTACTCCAGGACGGCCCTGGGGAATTGACTTCAAGGATCTATTGAAGGTAGAGTCCAACATGAAATGGAGGTATGTTTATCTGGCCAACAAATACTGTCCTAATCTAACCTGGGACCCCCAGGCGCGAGGTGGCGAAGACTCACATGGCTGCCAATGAGTATCCTATCACTCTTACGACGTTCCCCCGTTTGGGTACGAAGGATGATTACATTCAACCCTACTACCCCCCATCAGGGGCTGCACTCCGGTCTCAATTTGTTCCGGATGAGATCGCGAATCCGCACATCAGGTTTCCGACGCTGGCTGCTAACATACGGTCGAGGCGGGGACGGAAGGTCGAGCTGAACGTACCAGTCTTCAAGGACACAAACACCCCCGTCCCTTTCAATGACCCAACGGTGGATTATGATCTCCATAACTGGCCTGAAGATGATGATGTCAGGAACGGAGCAGCTAAGGAAGGGCATGTGTATATGGACGCCATGGCTTTTGGCATGGGCAGTTGCTGTCTTCAGATTACCTTCCAGGCAAAGAATATGACAGAAGGGAGAAAGTTATATGACCAACTGAGTCCGCTGGGGCCCATCCTTCTTGCACTCACAGCCGCAACCCCTATTTATAAGGGCTTCCTCGTCGACACTGACGTTCGGTGGAATCAAATTGGAAACGCTGTAGATGACAGGACACGCGAAGAACTTGGTGAAGCTGTGAGTTTCTCCTTCCAGAGGTCACTAACCCAGAATTAACACATGAAATGAAACAGCCCCTAAAGAACGATAGGTGGAGGATACCTAAGTCCAGATACGCCTCAAATTCGACTTACCTTTCACAGGATCCTAGACTACGCAAGGAATACCTAGATCCTGATTTGATTGTAGACGAAGACATCAAGAAGCGCTTGATTGAAGGCGGCATGGACGAGCTTTTGGCCACGCATTTCGCGCATCTCTTCATACGGGACCCATTGGTCATTTTCTCAGAGGACCTTGAAGAGCTTGATCTAAATAAGGCAGACCACTTCGAGAACCTGCAATCGACAAATTGGCAACACATGCGCTTCAAACCTCCACCACCAGAAAAGGACGATATCGGTTGGCGAGTCGAATTTCGCTCAATGGAAATTCAAATGACCGATTTCGAGAATGCTGCATTTAGTATCTTTATCGTGCTTGTCACTCGCGCGATCCTGAGTTTCGATCTGAATTTCTACATTCCTATCCAACGAACGACTGAGAACATGGAAACGGCGCATGCGCGAAATGCAGTTCTGGACCGAAAGTTCTACTTCCGCAAGGACCCCTTCTCTCCCCGTGCCCGCAGATCACATCTTCAGTCTTCTAGTAACAGTGAAGTGTCATCGACCACGTCTTCCGCTGTTAACACGCCACCCCCATCACCTCCACTTAGCCCAGTAGAGTCGGAATTCGAGCTCATGACAATTGCGGACATCGTCAACGGCTCTGCTAACGGGTTGTTCCCTGGACTGATTCCCCTTGTTGAGTCGTACTTAAACAGTGTTAATGTAGACGTTGAAACGCGCTGCTTCCTGGCAACTTATTTGGATTTGATTCGCAAACGGGCGAACGGAACTCTCTGGACTGGAGCTCGATGGATCCGAGAATTCGTTGCTTCGCATCCTGCATATAAGCATGATAGCGTAGTCTCTGAAGAGATATGCTATGACCTCGTGAAGGCGGTTGAGGAAATGTCCGTGAAGGAAGGGAAAGGCGGGAGCGTTGGATGGGAGCTTCTCAGGGGCAAGAAGTAATAAGATAAAAAAGTCTGTCTGCATATAGACCTGAAAATTCTAACTCGGATAGTAGATAGCATTGTTTTGTTTTCATGTTCTAATTCACGACTTAGATCTTCTTGTTTTATGTGTCCACATTGCATCCAGCCTGTTATTGTTTATTGCCTTGCTATTTTGCTCCTCAGAGCTCTCATTGGAAACCCCAATATATAACCATGTTCCGCTCATGGCAATGAATGATCTTCCTCTTCAGCTAACCTGGTCACCTTCCATTCTCCATTGAGCTTATGGAGCACGAAAAGCTCAACGCCCACGTGGTTCACAACGCCGTTGATCTTTGACCTGAATGGCGCCCACACGGCAGCCAGATTGCCTAATTCGTACAATTTCACCTCAGGGTTCCAGATCCGCTCGTCGATTTTATCTAGCACCTTTGCAATCTGCTCCAGGAAGACACCAATTGTACAAAAACGAGACAGCGTGGGTGGTGGTGGCCAAAGGGCCATCCCTCCTGCTCGGATGCAGTACTTCTCAAAGTCGGCCGGTGACTTGGAAGTCAATGCAGCAAGGAATCCTTACGCGACAGCGATGATGGGGTCTTCCTCTTCTGGAGGTGGTGGCAAGGCCGGTGCTTGGGGAAGACGTTCAAGCGATGGTCTCCACCGCATTTTGTTGATGCGGTTAAACAACGAATATATGGTGCGAGGGTAGATATACAAGTATCTTGCCCTATTCTCGTGTCGACTCTCTGAACTCTGGGATACCAACAGTCGCATGGTGGACTTGTGCAATAAGGCTAAATTGGCGTCGAATGACTTAATATGAGCTGGGAGTTGCTCGATAGCCCTTGCGCTTTTTCCGGTTAAACCATTAGACATCCTTGCATCACAGGCTTTTCTTGCATTTATGCTGGGCTGAAAAAGATGAGTCAGTGGGGACATGAACCTCTTTTTATCATACAACCTACCAGCCTTGTATTGGAGATCCCATTGGAACAGGTTTTCAAGCAACCCCCCAAATTGGATAAGCAAGAAGTGCTACAAACCCTCGGATTAGTATGACTCTACTTCACCGGGACAGCTCTCACAGCCGATGCATGTCAGGACCACATGATGTCCCCTTTTAGCTGGTGCGTTGTGCCACCCACGACGCCAGAAATGCCATTTTACGATAGAACCGATTCCCATGGGGTTTTAAACAGTGGGCAATCTCTGTTTATACTAAGCTTAGCATAGTCGTAGGATCCCTTTGATGACTGCCACCCTTTCCTCGCCTGACTGACGGATCATGCATTCAGATTTGCCTAGATAAACTGCACTATATGTGGCCTCCTCTGTGAAACTCCTGGGCATTGTAGTATAACGGCTCCATTTGTTGAATCCTGTGCAACAAGCCAGCCATAGCATGTGACGGGTTATTTTATTTAATGGTTATCATCTTGTCTCACCGCTGGAATACTTGGAGATACAGCTAGAATAGGCCAATTTATAGGAATTCCGTACACTATCTACAGTCTGACATATCAGCCACAGCATTTTCCTTCTGCCATCGTTCATTATGAAAAAAAGCATTCCTTGTACGCACAACTGGTCCGTCTCGTGGCCAATCAATTCAGTTACTCTAGTATAGACGCAAAGGTAAGACGGGTAAAAGGCATACTAAAAATCTCAGACAACACCGGCAAATCTTCGGGACATGCGTTCAACCGGCCCCTATATAACTACAAGAGATCCCACTCCCTCATCAAAGCCCCACGAATAGCCCCCCCACAACCAACTCGGCAGCCGACAATCTTTTCTACAAGGGGAAATACTGTTTACCCGGTTGACCATTCATTGAATCCTGAGGTTCACTCGCATTTCTATAACCCCGGTTACCCCGGATCACACTGCGTCATAAGACTCCACCCCCACAATGTGGTATTGCGCGACCCTTCATCCTTCTTGTTTGAGTTACAAAGGCCCCATATGGGGGCTTCAGTACCCCGCAACCGATGGCCTGTCATATAAAGAGTATGGGGGTGTTGTTGCGGCGAGGCGCGAGTTGACACGGTCATGAGTTCTTGTGTGTTGGAAGCCGTTCAAGATGCTCAAATCAATTATCAGCCTGTCTATGCTGTGGGTGGCTAGTAATGCGTCCCACAGCAATATAACGGGCCCAACAGCCCGCGTCCGCAATGGCACATATGTCGGGGCGAGGAATGACCACTACCAGCAGGACTTCTTCCTGGGTATGCCGTATGCGCAGCAGCCAGTTGGTGATCTGCGGTTTACAGTGCCGCAACCGTTGAACGAAAGCTGGGATGGAGCGCGCAATGCAAAGGAATATTCCGATATTTGTGTGGGATATGGTGTAAGCCATGCTTCTATCCCGTCGATTTCGGACATCGAAGGTCGGCAAGCTAACGCAAGAATATAGTCAGATTCGATCTGGTACGCGATGTCCGAAGCGTGTCTTACTTTGAACGTTATTCGAGGATCATCTGCGAATGAGGCTGCCAATCTCCCTGTTGGGGTTTGGATTCACGGTGGCGGATACTATATGGGTTCTGGATCTGACGAGCGGTATAACATGTCTGCTATTGTGGCGAACTCTTACAGGATCGGTAAGTCTCTTACGATTGAGTGGTAGGACAGATACTAAGCCCTACAGGCAAACCATTCATCGCTGTGTCCTTGAACTATCGCCTCTCTGCATGGGGCTTCTTGAGTTCGAGTGAAGTCACCCGTAGCGGAAACACTAATCTCGGTCTCAGGGATCAGAGAATGGCCCTCCAGTGGATCAAAGAAAACATCCAGGCCTTCGGAGGCGATCCAGACAAGGTCACGATATGGGGAGAGTCCGCAGGGGCAATGTCCGTTGGGACCCATCTTATCGCATACGGTGGCAGAGATGACGGTCTCTTCCGCGGAGCTATTATGGAATCGGGAGGATCGATAGCGGCCAATCCAGTGAACGACACCGGCTATCAGGCAATGTATGATGAAGTGGTGGCGAAGGTCGGCTGCTCTAACGCCAACGATACACTGCAATGTTTGCGCGAGGTTCCATTTGAGGAACTGAATGCTGTTTTCAACGGCACCGATGGCAATCCAGCGTATTTCTTCAGGCCTGCGGTTGACCAGGATCTAGTCAGAGGCCCGGGAAGTGACCAACTGGAAAGGCATGAGTTCGTCAAGGTGCCAATCCTTGCAGGCACCAATACCGACGAGGGGACTAGCTTTGGCCCCACGGGGATCAATTCGACAGCGCAATTCTACGAATATCTCACAGGTTGGTTACTGTAGAGATTTCTTCTCTTCGTACTGTGCGTACTAATTTCCACACCACCAGACGGAACATCCGGCTTCAGTCTCCCGCCATCAGCAGCAAACCGGATCCTCGATCTCTACCCGGACGACCCATCACTGGGAATTCCGGAGTTTCTCGGCGCCCAACGAGTACCGTCGAAGGGTTACCAGTGGCGCCGGACATCCGCCTACGCAGGGGACTACATAATGCATGCGAACCGACGACGACAATGCGAAGCCTGGACGAAGGCCGCAACCCCAGCCTATTGCTACCGATTCAACATGCGCGGGGCGGACGTTCCGTATCTCTCCGGTGCCGGCCATTTTGAGGAAGTGGCCTTCGTGTTCAACAACATCAAGGGGCTTGGGTATCATGACGGGAAGCCGTTCGAGGGGATGCCCGAGTCGTACAGCCAGCTAAGCACGCTGATGGCGAGCATGTGGGCGTCTTTCATCCACGACTTAGACCCAAATTCGGGCATCAAGGATAGAGAGGTTCGCTGGCAGGCGTATGGGGCGACCCAGCCGGTCGATCTGGTGTTCGACGCGAATGCCACGAGCTATATGGAGCCGGACACGTGGCGGAAGGAGGGGATCGATTATATTAATTCGATCGCGAAGACATATTGGCGGTAGTGGCTTACCTTGATAACTACCAGATCGTAGGTCCATTAATACTACACGACGAGTATCTCATCAGGGAAATGATTAGTCAATGGATGTAGAAGCTACACAACCCTCCAAACCAACTACCAGCCAAAACCGACAAAGTCTGCCAGCATCACTCTAAAGGATAAAATTCAAATAAATAAGATGTGATAAAATAGATAAAAATAAATATACCAAAAAAAAAAAAAAAAGCAGGGACCAGAACCAAGGCAAAATGAAAATGAAAATGAAGCAAATGCCGAACTATAATACCCGAAATAACCGCTCCAAAAATAGCACACTTTAAATTAAACAATTTAACCAAGGTCACGATGATATATGCTAAACAATAGGTAGTTGTCTACTGGACAACGACGTCCGTAAGGGAAACGGGTTTCCACTCCGTCCTGTCAAGTACTCCATAGAGGCCCCAGTCCCCGACTTCAATAGTCTGGGAATAGAATAAAAAGGTATCTCCATCTTTCCGCCTATCGGACATTCAGACTATGGTAGCTAGTGGGCAACTGGAGCTTCTGTCATGGCATGTCCCAAGACTTCCATAGCTTCAGGTGACAGTGGGAACAGGGTAGATGGGGCCCCCTAATGAATCAGATAGGCGTGGTGTATGGTTATGGGGAAAGGGGAATGAAGAGATTGCGTCAGGATCTTCGGTCTGCTACTATTTGTTTTTGATCAACATAAAGGACAAGAGATGATAACAAATGAGCGTAGACGTGGTATTTTTTAGTTTTTGTGTACGGAAAATTTTTTTGATTTGTTTTAAAAAAAGATTATTCGTCAAAAGACCAGGATTCGGGGGAAAATAGCCATGCACCAGAACCATAACCTCGGTACTTCCGTGGGGAGAGGATACAATATCCCAACCATGGTACAAAGCACGGATAACGAGAATTCTAGAACGCAATGCAACCTTTCTCGGAAATGTCAAGCGAGGCGGAACGTCATATCCCGCCGGTTCAACGATGAAAGTAGCAGATGGAGTAGACTTGAAATGAATGAAGACTGAATATGAAAGGTGGTGTGAACCCGTGGTAGATTTAATTGAAAGGTGTCGATCCCCCATCGTTATACTGTGGATTATATCGGAACCTCATTTGCTCACTGCAGAGGCTTGAGGATTCTGTTGGCTCTCCTCCTCTCTCTAGTGAACCTTTTTTCCTGGCTGAAAGACCATTTCCCTATTTTTGACTCAACAATACGCTTGTTCAGGTGCGGATATTCCGTTGTTGGTTGCCGGCAAAGTTTGGTTTGCGCGTGTTGTGGTATGGGGGATTGCGCCTTCGAGAAGGCGATGGTTCCATGGGACGGGTGGTGGACACTGTCTGGTATTGTCTTTTATTAATCCGTACGAGTGCTAGTATTTTGCAGTTAATAGATGGGTATAGTTTACACTTACATCATACTCGAGAGTGATTATTACGCCAACTCGCCATGACCAACGGCATATATACTAAAGAAACCTGTAATGTATGTCTTAATGGAAGCCAGAAAGAAAAGAATATTATTTGGCTAATCCACGTACCTACTTTATATACTCGATATCATTAGAACCGCTCTCGGCAAACGCTACGCTTTTTCCGCTTGTATATCTACACACATCATGCTGGAGAACATAATTAAACGGGGGAAAGATGGGTTTAGAAAGCCGACTATTATACTTCAAGTATATACCTGATATCAATCCTTGCAAACCAATCATACACTGAACACAAATGCATGCCCGAATCTATATGTAAATCGGACACGCCCACATGATCATCAATTCCACCAACCACTCAAACAGTAGATCAAAAATCCAAATACTGTCTCATTCTGCATCTCACCGGAACCAGCAACAGGCCAGTCAAAGACTCATCCGAAAATTTTCTCCATTAGGCAAGTTGCAGCTGCAGAGATCCCACCCGGGCCATTAAATCTAGATTAATCCCTATCATGCAAAGCCGGTCTGAATAGAGGGGGTTGACTAAATTACTAAATTAATTACTTAGAATCGAGATGTCTGTAAACAATGTCACCCATGAGTCTGGGAACCTGATCTCATTCCCGTATTGGTTTTTCGGTGATAACTCGGGCTTTCAATTAAATATATCTACTTAACGTATTGTTCTATTCATGATGGGTGGATGGGTGTATGTACTCACATACGTACATAAGAGACACTAAACTAGTGGCCCTCTAAATAATCTCACCTGATTCTTACGTATATCAAATTATCGATCTAACAATTAACGCGGGACGAAAAAAAAGACATATACGGAAAGCCTAGTACCCGGGGGAACAAAGGCACGGGGGGGTGGAGAGAAAGACATGAAATTAAACTACAACTAAAACTTTTCAAGTTGTCATCTCCGGGGATGTTCTAGAATTTTTCTTTTCCTTTTGGGCAAGATACCTCAATTGTGGCTATACTCCGGAGCGAACGGGTAATATAATTTGTCAACATACGAGTCACGATTAGGCAGGCCTGAGCCGGAGGGTTAATCTATTCTGCGTTCTTTCTGGAAAACGAACCGGGGCTGGCATCCACTTGTTGTACCCACTCACGGCATGGGCATTTGAGTCCAGCATCCGAGGTTGGCTGTAGGCGAGACAATTGATGATTTTTTTACTATGTACTCTCTCTCTCTCTCTCTCTCTGTGTGTGTGTGTGCGTGTGTATGTTTGTGTATATTATGAAAGTAGTTTGAATATCTCGCATGTCAGGACTCAAAAGATAGGAAGCGTAGGATATTATTAATCGATCTATCGTGCTTAAGCTTTCTAGACAGATAAACTTCATTTGACATGTCCTCCGACATGCATTATCAAAAAAACCATCAGTCTAGGTACTAAGTACGGCCTGCCCAAACAGGCACAACGAACAACACCGCCACTTCGTCAACAAGAATAAGGGTACCTCTAGTGGGTCAACAATTTGTCTCCATAGAGTCTTCGAAGCCACTCAGCAGATACGGTCCGTATGCGTGTCGCCTACCTAAGCGCACAGCTAACTGATCTTAGTCCAGTCAAGATAGGCAACTAACCAGACCTATGACCAGTGGAGATCCCATTATCCGCAATTCCAACGGTCCTTCTTAGTAATCTGCATATTTACTCACCGAAAACGTACTAAAACCCGGGTGAGAAACAGTAGACCACGAAACTAACCCAAGCTATACCCCGTCCCGATATTGAAGACTCCCAAAACGGCAATTTTTAATATAAACCTGGGATCGTCCAATAATTCTGCCGGATCACCGATAGATAACTGCGATCTCTTGAGATGTCATCCACTTTGAATCCGGATTTACCCCTAAATCGTATGTCGTGATTAGGAGATTTTTTATTTATTTATTTATTTATTTCTAGATTATCATGTTTTTCACTCCTTTTCGCCCTGCTATTTCCTCTCTCAAGATACTTACTATCGGGAGCGGGTTAGGTGTGGGTAACCCCTGTATATTAGCTGATTGCTGGTTTCTATCCCCCCATTGAGGTCGAGTCAGGTTTCTTTGCCGTGCTGATTCGCCTTGTTTAAAGGAGGTCTGTCGGTTTGACGGCGTTGGGTGAGCCAAGCTATCCACGGCTTACTTGACTTGCATCCTCCGCGGAATCCGTGGATGCAAAACTTGTTTAGAACAATGATGTTGGATACTTGGCAATGTACTGTGTGTTCTTTTCTTTTCATCTTATTTTCTTTATTCCCGTTATTTATTTGTTTATTTGTTTATTTTTTATTTTTTTTGAAAAAAAAAATTATTCCCATTTGCTGCTTGCCCCTCCCTCCCTCTTATAAAAGCTTATATTATCATCGTTATAAGGAAGATCAGTACGTACTACGTATGTACATTTAAACTCTCGAGATAAGAGTAACACGTAACCCTGCCACCCCGTCATAATTGAGTCAGTTAAGTTCCGTCACCCAGTAACTCGGTAGATTCGGAAATATAACCGCCTGAACTCCATGACTCGACTCGAGGGTTATTCTCCGAGGCTAATTGGAATCTTGGAACGCCAATAGCGGGAAGGATGGGATCCCATTGAAAGGGGGATGAGGCGGAGATCATTTCAAGTTACAGGAAAATAGAAAAGAAAAAGTTAGGAACCAAAGAGAAATTGAATTGACAACTTTTCTTCACGTGTCTTTTTCGTTTTTTCTATCTTTAATTCCTTTTTCCCTTTCCTTTTTTATCCAGGGAAAAGAGGAGAGAGAGAAACGGCGGGAGGTGGGCCGCTAGTCTCCTTGGGAGGGCACATCCCTGCTAGTATCCCGAACCCGAACGGAGGATTTTGGGATCCGTACTATCTGGGTAAGGTAGGGAGCATATAATCCATCCGGCCGAAAGGAAATTTGGTAAAGGGAAGAAATAAATATTAAGGAAAAAAATTCATTAGTGACCATCTGATTGGGAAAGTATATTAAAAATTAAAGAGGTAACAAGGTACCAAGAGAGCGGTGGCGGAAGGACCGGTTGTCATAGTTATTACCTTGCGGAGTGTGTTTGTTGCCGGTGAATTACTAAATACAAACCTCATACAATCAGCCCTGATGGACCATTGACGATGGTATAAGGTAATAAGTACGTAAGCCACCAGGGCAAAAAGCAATAATCAAAAAAATATTTTTTTGAGAAAAAAAAAAGGAAGTTACCAGATATAAGGGTTGCTTGATCCAGATGCGTAGGAGTAAGTACGCCTACTACTCTAAGTAACTTAATTGACTTCTAGTCTTTGGAAAAGCGTGCCAGTCAATAAGCGTTCCGATTAGCTAACCGAGCCCGACTCCTAATCAGGCTGGCTGCAGCACGCCAAAGCCTAGTGGCGTCGGGCTAAACCGTTTTCTGACGAAGCCCCAGCTGTCAACTTTCTTTTTCTGGTCAAGGTATCGGAGAGTTTATCGGGACAAGGTTCCACCGATCCTGCTGGGTCAATGTGATGCTGCGGCCTCTTTTTGTTCTTTTTGTTCCTCCCTGTTGGCCCCATCAGTG